GAGAGATGTGCTGCTATTGAGTCGCCAACTACCATTCTATAGTCATAGAATTTCTGCCAGAGTAGTTCTTTTGAAACTTCGGTCTTCTGCTCATGGACTGTTAAGAGTTTTTGCCACATTTCATGTGCATTTTCACACTTTACCAGACATTCTAGTTGGTTTGGAGAAATGGGGGTAAGTAGAATTACTTGCGCTTTTGAATTATTTTCTTCCCATTTTACCAATTCAGCAAGCGCTGAATCTTGTGGTTGGGGACACTTCCATCCACTAAATTTCCATAGCTGAAATTTTGTGCCGTCGAACTTTACTAACTCTGATGATTTTGCTGACACTGACGCCATTTTGCACTTCGATTATTCTTCAGCAGTTATCACTTTACTCACGCACTACTGAAATGTCTACACAATTTCTAGAGTGTTTGGTGTCCTGGGCCCATAACCTGTTGGTGGAATAAAGTGGACACACTCTTAATGTATGAATAAAAGTATATTGATAAATGATAAAGAACAACACAGTACAAAAGTAAATTTCCGAACACGACAACGATTTGACGACGACTAACTAAAAAAGGTTGCTCTCGCGATAAACAAAAAATGTATGCTGCCTAAGCAATATGGCTTTGTGGTACGCTGCGGTCCATAATATATATGGCTGAACTTATATTGAATATTTCCTTCGTATGATAATCTGTCCGTTTGAAGTGTGCAAAAAATTACAGCGGTAATTGCACAGTGTGCAATTATCATTCAACGATAATTGCATTGCTTACAAAAATATTTGACAGGTGTCTTTTCCTGTTGAATTAGACATCAAATGCCCAAATGCCATCCGGAAATTCCTAAGTTATTCAAATCATATTTGTTATTTAAACTTTAAAAAATGTCTCGTTTTGGTGTCAAATCACCTACTACAATAAAAGAAGTTGTTGCTGCGACCGTGCCCACGAATAATATCAACAATCAAAAATATATCGGGAGGCAGTTTCCAGCATTTTGTGAAGAAAGATGTTACAACATAAGTAAAGACACTACAGTGCACCAAAACATTCTACAAGACTGGGCGTTCAACATGAAAAGACAGAATGGTGAGGATTATAAAGAATATACTATAAAAACTATTTGGAATGTTACCGCTAAATTACTAATGGATAAATACTACAATGAACATAACGTTCGTTTTAATTCGTTTCAAGACATCGAATTTAAATTGGCTCGAGAAGCTAAAAACGCAAAACGGAAGGAGCTACAACGGGAGCCCCAGAAAAGAAAGCTCTGTTTCCATGAAATATGAGGAATTTAAGAAAATGGTCGAAAGCTGTGATGAAGACACTCCAGGTGGTCTGCAAAAGAAACTATTCTTTGGAGTGGAGGAGAAGAATCGAGATGCTTGACAACATATTTCAAAGAAGAAGTTGACAATGTAGGCGGAAAAAGAGTTGAATATAATCCAATATTTACCAAAACGACACAAGGTGAGGAGGGACCATGCGCATCATCAAAGTGGTTAATTCGTAATCGAATTAGTCCTCAGATTTGTCCAGTTCGACTCTTTCACAAATGCATGCAGAAGAGGTCAAATATCAAAATAAACCGTCTCTTTTTAACCATCTGCCCTGCTTGGAAAACGAGTGAATAGTACAAAAATATACCTTCTGGTAGGAATACGATCAGTTAGTGGACTTAGCAAGCAGAAAAAGCAGGTCTAGCGACTGCCTCAAAAAAACTGACAAACCATTCTCTGCGAGCAACAGCCGTTTCAAAATTGACTATGAAAGGGGTTGGAGAACAGCAGTTAATAAAAATTACTGCACATTCGAACACCAAATCAATGACACCATATCTCCAAATGGATAATGAACATCATCTGCAAATAACTGACAAAATGAGAGACAATGATGGTGCTGAGGTTCAGCCAAAAATGTGGGGAGCAGCGGTGTCTTCAGAAGGTTCTGCATCAAGTGTTCCTGCAGTTCCCGCCAAATCAGTTGGGGCAATCGCTAAAAGTAAAACATATTTTAACTGCACGTTAAATTGCAGCTCTTGGAACTTTTAGAATAGGCTTTTTTAGACAAGAATGGCAGCAATAATAGTGTAACTTTTAATAGAAAATCAAAGTAATAAAATTAACTTTGTTCACTCAGGAAATATTCATAAAAATTACACTCGTGCATCAAAATAAACAGATAATTGTGCATTCGAGCTTGTTGTCTTGTAAAAACTACATTGCACTTACCCCCGATAATATTAAAAGCATTTTGATTACAGTCCTATTCTAACAGGAAGCTTTAAAGTGTGTTATTTTCGTGGTGGTAAACCTGCAGTCAAATTTTGGAGAAAGTAGAAGAAAATATTGAAAACATGAGCCGTTGTCAAAAACTTCAATATTCTTCCGCAAATTGTAACAATTTGATGAAAGACATGCGTTAAGAACATCAGATTTCGGTTAATAGGAAAAGAAAAACAACGTTTGGGGCATGCTATACTTGAAGTGACACGTTTCAGGAGATTAATAATTCATCTTGATTGCAACTGTTTCACGTTGCAATCGTTGGCCACTGGCTCAGCTCCGGACGTTCCGTTGCGAAACATCGCGCTTTGTTTCCATTATTCCTCCAAGTCAGGGCGCAAATGACCACCTCGAACGGGCCTGAGAGTGAAAAAGTGCTCACCAGCTGACAATCTCGTCAAACCCATTCATATGCGACCGCAAAGTCGGGACAAAACTACTGCGGTGCCGTAGACGCGTAACAGTCCCCTCTAGTTACCATGGGCCCCGGTAGGGAACCGTCGCTAAGCTCCCCCTATTCGCCCCTACTACGCGCCCATGGGCGGAGCTCCAGACTGGTGGGCCGCATGCCCTGTTGCCCACTTTATGAGCGTCTCACAAGTGCGCGATCTCTCGCATGGTTGTCATGTGTACTCCGTTTATCAGCCAACCACCGCGGAACACATGCGCGATCTGCGTCGTTCCGGCTCTATTTTCGTGGTGTGATTGAGCCCTTTTTTCTGCGCGCAGCGTTTTGTTTGTTGTTTACGTTTTCTCACCTGTCAAGTGGTTTTTGCGTTCTCTATGAGTAATTAGAGGTGCTTTTGCAAGCGATTTACGAGTGGGACTGAAGGTGACTGAATTTTTCGCTCTTTGCCTTCGGGATTAAAACGTGATCATTTCTGTGCGCGATTTGGATTAATGACTGCATCTGAGCCATAATGGCGTTATAACGCAATAAAATCTCCGGACGCAACACTCGTCTCCCAAGCCCCTGTGGGCTGGAACTCAAAATGCCTGTCCACTACTTGGGATTGGCGATGACATGACCTCAGAAGCGCACCTCAGAACCGCTCAGCGACCAAGTGATGTGCATTGGGGACAGTAAAGCGGGACCTTTTTTTGAGACTACAGTCTCCGCCGGTGATTCGGCGTAATTGTTAAAGTGTCCGCGGATCGTAGTGGTGAGGTCCGCTCATCCGGGCTGTCCTTCCTGCAGATGGGGGTGTTTGAGGACAGTGGTGGACGACACTCCTCACCCGGCATGCACTGGGTAAGACTCACCACCCTCACATGAGTGGAGCAAGGCAAAGGCCTAACCGAGCAACCGAGCGTTTTTTCTTGTTCCACATCAACAGTTTTTTGCGGCTTTCGTCTGAGAAAAGCTAATATTTTAATAAAAACCACTTTCTAGTATTAACTGGAGGTACCCGGTCTGCAAATACCATCCAAAAGTCTTATATAATAGTCTCTTTAGTCCAAATGTGATGAAAAGGCGACGAAAAACGGCCCAAATAAGTGCCCACATTACCGAAACTTTTTTGGGGTCATGAAGATACTGGCTGTTTGTATGAACCTTCCTAGTCCGAATCATGTTAAATAGAACCGTGGCAGACAAGACTTTTAGCATTAAAATGTCCATTTCCGCCAAAGAATTCCGTTAAATTCGCGCGTTTTCACCTATTTTTTTGACAACTAATCAAGCAAAAGTCAATATGACATTTGTTGACAAACCTGTCAATTTTCCAGGAGTGCCACACCAAGACCCACAACAGTTAAACACACTAGCGAAAAGCAGTTAAAGTGATTTATTATCTAAAATTTTCGACTAGTTGGGGAAAAATTGTCGATTTGTCTTCAAAATGTGTGGGTACTTTATTATCTTAATTTGGCCGCTTTTTGCAGATGTTTATTCGATTCGTTGATTAATTTTTGGTTATAGTTTGCTTTTTCCGGAAAAAGTGCATTCTGCAGCATTGTTAACTGTACGTGATATTGATTTTTACATACTTTAAGCAAATTAGGACTCCACCAGGAGTCATTGCACCAATTTATTTCTGATTTTCTGTTAATAGCTAAATAAAGTTCCTGCTATTTTTCCCAATTTTGTTTTCTTTGATTTTTAAATTGAGTTTCTTCATCCGGTTAGAATGGCGCTGTCTAACACCCGACAAACTGGTCCTTAAGCTCTTTATTCTTTTTCGTATTTTACTTCCTATTTAATAATAATTAATAATTACATTTCTAAGCAAGCAACGAGTTTTCGCTGAAATTAATCTGACAAGCGCGCTTTTTTGCCAGCGCCTTTAGAACTCTTTCCTTTACCAGCTCTGTTTCGCATCTAGGTAAATTACAGACAAGTTTCCTCTTAATATTTCCTGTATTTTCACATTCAATGGTTATATTGGTTTATATATTTTTATTATATGGTCATATTAATATTTTAATTTAGTTTCTCTTTAATTAGTGCATTTAGAGAACAATTTGCATTCTAATTTACCAGTTTAAGTTTATTGATTTCATTTAATTTAGCATCTATTTTTGACTGTAAATATCTTCTCCATCTCTATTTTTCATTTGAAAAGAAAATTTCTCGCAACATTGCTTTGCAAACATTTCCTGACAAGTTTATACCTCTGTTTATTTTGTTCCTGTACCTAATCTGGTCGTTAAGTTGTTAAAGTTTCTATATTCCTAAATGTGTTCTTGTGTTCACGGTTTAGAATACTGTTTTTATGTTACCTCTTGATGGAGTTACAAACATACAAAATAAACAAAGGTTTGTAACAAAATTTGGTGTGCAGAACTTTTTTCAGAAGTGAAAAGAAATTCGAAATCAATTTCGAATGGCTCAGAATAAGCAGATGATTGCAGATCCAAATTTCTCAGAAAATATGAGCTCGTATTGATTTTTCTGTCTGAGATACCCGATATTGTGGGTACTCGGTTTTAAACCATGACCAAGAAAAGATGTCACTATTTAAACACCCTGTACAATTTGTTGATTGCATTTTTTGTTTATTTTGAAAGTTAAATTTTGTTCAAGAATAGAGCTACAATTCGATACGAAAATATGCAAATCGGATCACTGGCTGAGAAAATATTATCTGTTAAAACTTTTTAGCTCTAGTCTAGAGGGTCAAAAGAAGGGGTGTAATTTCAGTTTTGTGCCATTTTTTCCAAACGCCACCCAACTCTACCAAAAGCGAAAATATGCCAATAAACCGCATTTTCTAATTCTAAGGCATTTTCCGCAACATTTTCCAGACTTGTTTTTACTATCGCTCGCCTTTGCAAGTCGCAACTATTGTGCACGAAAAACCTTTAAAACATAAAAATTATTAGCAAACTCCTAACTTTTTCTGTTTGTCTAGTTTGGCTGTTGTCCGCTTTGATAGTAAATAGGTGAAATCTTCTTCCATTTGCACATAATCTCCAAATTTGAATCATGATTGAAACAGGATTGCGTCCATAAAAATGCCATTCTAATGCGTTGAGATATGTTTCTAAAACCGGCCATAAATCAACGTTCTGGCCGTATTAAATTGCTTTATTATGTTAAAACGGTAAAAGCTTCAAATATTGCGTCCTCAGAGGATTTTGGAATTATTTTAGACTTATTGATGATGCCCATTTCACTCACGTGATTCCTATCCATTTCTCCCCAGTAAATTGTAGAAAATCCTCTTGATCATGTCAATTTATTGGCATTGTTGGAAAATGTTGATGCATTTTCCCCGCGCAAATTATATATTGTATAAAAACTTCGTGATTGGTTTCGTCCTCATTGGTTGATGGACATGCAATTTAAATCCCTTGACACTCGAAGGCATCGAGGCGGCAAATTTCGGACAACAGGTCGTCTCTTTTGGGCAAAAAGAACGAAATCGAGACCGCAACACGACATGATCCAAAAAAAAAAACCCCGCCCGGATATTAATACGAAATCACGCTTCCGCCGAAAAGTGTGGACTAAAAAATTTTTCTGGCGTATTCTCTCATGTGAAATCGCTTTACGAGCCAGCTGAAACGCCAAACCGGTACTCGATCTTAATCGGTTTACCTGTTAATCTGCAGAGGTCAACAGCACCTCACAATATGCAATCTTCTGGAGTCGTGACTTTTTCATAACACCTAGCCGTGTGACGAAAACTATCATAATAACTATTCCTCAATCTTCGGTAATGTGAGGGTAATTTCCTTGTCGCCGGCGAGTTTCCTCACTTAACCTCACCCAATCTTCAACATCGTCAGCCGAGATCGCATGCCAGATTCTAGAATTCATTTCAAACCAATGAAGGTGCTAGTCGTTGCCGCTTATTCAGCTTCATTCTGTAGATCGAGCTGATTCACACACAAGTTCTAAGCGGGTTTTATCGCGTTAATCCAAAGAGACAGGGTGTCCAGCAAGGTTGAAATGTTGAACCCAAAAAGAGGACAGCACCGCTCCGGATAATGGTCGATAGGATGAGAGCGAAAGGGACAAGACATCTCGTTCGGACAGTCCCCGATGACCCATGGAAAGTAAAACAAACATTTTTGATATATTGGTCGAGCGAGGTAAACAACAGTATGGAAGAGACCGTTTGCACTATTAACAGTGGGCCTGTAGTCGAAGAGGCAGATGCACTTTTGCTGTTTCAAGTTCAGTTCCTCGTGAGGAAAACAACAGGGTTTTTATTTGCTGGCCCCGACAAAGAGGCCGATGTCGATTTTGTGGCACGTTTTGAGGACATCGAGGTTTCACTTTCGCCTTTTTTTGGCAGCAGGCTTAGAGAAGAAAACGGCTCAATGTGGATTGTTTCGGCTCAGAACAATCTGGCGTTGCTATTATTTATTATTGAGCAGCTCAAGGCAGCCCTTGCTGTCTTGAGAGGACAATTGTGTTGAATTTCAGGCCTTTTGAGCCCCAAATGTCTACCGTGATTTTTTAGCTTATTACATTCCTCGCATAGCAATTCGAGACATTTTCAACTTTTTAGGGCAAAAATCGAATTCACTTGCTGGGTTCGGACTGTGACAAATTGCAACATTTTTGCGAAATTCTCTAACTGGTTAAAATGTAAAATGTTTTGCGGTTTGAAATTGGAATTTTGATGTTCTTCTAAATATTCCGGTTTCGGGATCTCAAAAAACTACATTTATGTCACCTTTCAATCAATAAATAGAAACAATTTAAAACGAAGAAACCTTTCATTTGCTTAGTTTGTTTAGTAACCGATTTTTCATTAAGAGCATTGTATATACTTTCCTGATTGTGTTTCAATTCCAAATTAAAAATTAATTCCTGGGTTTCAGTCATTTATTGTTTTTATTTATCAATTAAAATACGTTTCGGTGTATTTTTCCACCATCATCAGTTTTTATGTGTAGCGTTGTTGCTACTTTAAGCCTTGGCATAGATTACGTATCCCAAGGTAAAAATACTCCGAAACTGATTTGGAATTAAGAGCATTGCAATGACTTTTGCGAATAAATTTACCCGCCGTCCGAGAAAAATTTATTGCGCCGAAATTAGTTGAGACTGAAAGGCGATTTCTACAGCGTTAAATAACGGAATGTTCGCTCTATGTTTCCTGAAACTTTCGTTTTCGTACAGCTTTGGGCTACAGTTTTAAAATTTGTCAAAATAAGACTTGCTCTTAAGCAAGCTCTTGCAAAGTGCAAGTTTACCCGCAGTTAATGAAATTTTTTTTACGCTAACACCAATCGAGATTGAAAAGCGTTTTCAACCCAAATAACTAAAGGAATCTGCGGTATATTTTTGCTGAAAGTCTGGTTATCTTACAAGATTGCGATTAATTTTCAAAACTCAAATTAAGACAACTACGTTACAAGTGCAAATTTACCCAACGTTCCTCAAAAAAGATTTTCGCCCAAACCAGTTGAAACTGAAAGGCGTTTTTCACAGTAATAAATAGAGTAAAATTGAGACTTAATTTTGAGAACTACTCAAAGGACACTTCCGACTAAATTTACACACAGCTTTTCGAAAATTTATTACATCAAAACCAATTGAGAAAAGCGTTTTTAATGGCGAGAAATACAGGAAACTTCACTTTATGTTTTTTCTGCGTTTCGTTTGCTGTTTGTGCTGAATTTTTTAAAGCGAGATTTGCGACTAAATTTGCACGCGTTTTCTCAGCAAAATGGTCACTCCTAACCCAACTGAGATAAAAAAAAGATTATTGGGGAATCAAATTGAGGAAACTTCACCCTAAGCTTGATGGGAGTTTCATTTACTGGCATCTTTGAGATGCATTTTCAGATTTT